AGAGAGAGAGAGAGAGAGAGAGAGGTCCGTTATTTTATGCGGTTCTCACGCGTAGCACGGAATATACAATCTCTCTTTATCCTCAAAGTGTACCGGTGAAATGGAAATCCTCGTATAAGTAAAGGAGTCGTGCTACAACTATACTATTGCTACATTGCGTCAGAGCTTTGCTTAGATCTTGAAGGCGGACCTAGGCGTCCACCTCTGCATACACTACCGTTCGTTTTGAGTACTGCAGAAAAATAGACTGTTCATGGCTAGTTAGTCAGTACGTCGGAGGTGATAGGCGGTCAACAGTCATGGTTGACCGACGACAATGACGTTGAATGTACGATAGAACGGATTTGGCGCTGGACACTTTACAATTAATCGTAGCGTTCAAGTATATAATAGATGCATGCAATACCGCCATTTCATTACCTCTTGAGAGTCATCACCGTGTCGAACGATAAATTGACTGCCTGAAGTTCCGTAAACGCTTGAGACCGGTGACCTCTTGACGGGCTCCTTGATATCAATCTCCAGCATAATAATGTCATCGGCATTAGACGATGATGATGTCTTTTTGACGACAGTCTCCTCTCCAGCGGAGACTGCCAGAAGACCTGTTGATTACAAACATTGCAATGAATCAAAGCAACTTTCATATTTCGGAATAGCTTGTTTGTTTTGCAAAATTAACTCATTTTAATAATTAACTATTTTTATTCGATGAAAAATTGATATGTGCATTTCAAAACTAACTAGCAATAAGCTATTTTCAAAAGCTATTTTGGAGGACTATTCTATTCGAAAGTTTATTTAAAATAGACTGTCCTTTAGCATTTTCGTAAAGAAAACTGTTACATTATTATTATTTCCAAAATTTTATATAGATAAAAACAATTAATTCAAAAATATTACGATAATTCTGCTCCAACGTGTAAACAGACATGCATCTTGTATGTAGAAAAAATTCAATATTTTTTGAAATTTTTTGAAAATGTCAACCATTTAAAAGAAATATAGTTTCGAAAGAACATGTTCAAAGTTTCGAATGTAGATACCTATATAATCTTTCTACATATTGCATTCTATAAATACTTCCGGCTTTGTTATGTCTTTGTATTTCAAAGAAACATATTTTAAAAGCATATTTTTAAGACTTGTAAACTGCAAAATAATGCAAAAAAAAGGAACAATTTTTTATAGTTTTAAGAATAGAATACTCTTACTCTCTTAATAAATATCTATTAACACAATTATATTTTTATAAATATTTTATTTGCGCGATAAAGCATCTCTATTTTCCAAAGATCTATTATCTATTGCGTAAGATATCATATTCTATCTAAATATTGTTTTGCTGATCGAATAATCAAACGTGGAAGTGACTTTTATATCGTTCTGCCTGACCGCAAACGCTCAGTACAGAGCTGGGAAAGCAACGTGGAGAAAGTTACGCGAACGACGTTCACTCGCGAGAAACTCTTCCCACGGATTTTGCTTTCAACATTTTCAAGCGTCTCGTCACTGCGGAAAAAGATAAAAGCTGACGTGCTAAGTAAATGAACGGTTTGCTGACAAACTGTAACACGTTGTATACCTATAGACTTTCGACACGAAGATTAAGCTTTTAGCGCCGCTTTTTATATTGTGACAATGAAAATATTATATCAGCAGAAATGACTCACACATGCTTGCAGAAATTTGCTGGAATTTGATTTCAACACATATTGTTATTTTTTTTTATATGTACACACTAGATTAAACTTGCAATAAAATGCAGCAAGAAATTCAAAGAAACCGCTTTCTCTTTAACAAAACAAATCAAAATTACAAATCAGTATTGCAAAAAGAAAAATTACAACAGTTTTGGCGAGCAAATGTAACATTTCGACTGGAAAACCGTATCAATTTGACACAATACACTGATTTCAATTGGCACGTAATTTATGCAATAATGCGTTAAAGGTTTATGTATAATTTAAAATATCAGATGAAAATTCACAATTTTGATTTTGATTTGTAATTAGTCCTGAACGTGATCCTGAAAGATGAAGAAAGTTTTACTGTTTTTACCTGCACCACATGTAGGCGAAGGAAGGAAAGTGTAATGATTATGATCTCGCAAAACGCACACCTTTATTATTAGTTTCCTCTGCTCGGTAATTTAGTCGGTACTAAATATCACAAATTACCATCACAAAACTTGATTTGTACGTCGCGTAATGAAAGTGTAATTAACGGCGTTTTGATTAGAAATGATGAAAGTATAAAAAAGTCGAAGAATCAATGCTTCTATGTCATTACGGTTCTCAAAGGAAAGTTGATTTCCTATAAATAATTCGCTGTTAAAAAAATGCTAAATTATTAAATTCTGTCGATCATCGTGTAATTCATCAGACAGAATACGGAAATGTGAACGCTATTTAAAAAAATAAATTCAGAGTCAGAGTCAGTTATCCTTCTTGTAAAAGCTACGTTTAAACGTGGTTTTGAAATAACTTAAAAGAGAAAAGCGTACAAGGAGCCCGCGATCGCGGGCTTTCCTTCCTTTGTCAGTCCGTAAGATTCCGCGGATGTGAGTAATTTTTCCCGCGTTGAGTAACGCTACGTGTGCGTCCTTAAGTAGAATACACGATTAAGTAATATCCTTCATACCGCGTGCGCGAGCGATTAACAATTCTTACCTAATTAACGCCTCAAGGAGTCCGCGCCCCTGCTATATGCCACAAAAATGTTAACTCTAATCGTTGCCGACCGCAATTTATTTAACGCGAAAAATTTATATTTCTTTTCCTTCTGTTTTTACGTGGCGGATAAGCCACAAATGGAAAAATAATTTGTTTCGGATTTTTTTCAATGTAACGCGCGCGTAACTAATTTTGCGTTATTTAAATATATTCACATTTAATATACTATTATTGCGAATTAATCTTTTCATGTTTTATCGAAACGCATGTTTAATATGCATTATTTATTAAAATTTAGCTCGATTTTATTTTTTCGAAAATTAAAAATTTTGAATCAACAAAATCGGAAAGTATAGCAAGATAAAAACTTTTCTTCTTGTTTCCTCTTATTTGTGTTAAATTACATTGTTGTTATATGACACGATTATTAAAATATAGAAAGTTTTCTTGATTTTTTACCGCGCAAGTAATTTTGAAAAAAGAAGCTTACTCAGGTATTATTTATTGACTACACGCACAAATAACATTAAATATAATAAAATACGATCTTAAACGAAAGCAATAAAATGTGTACATACGTTGATGTACTACTTGGACGTTAATTCGACATGAATTTAATTATTTTTATTTGAAGAAATTTGTTATCGCAAACTTTCTTTCCTTTCAGAGTTGTCAATACGATGCAATCAATTACCAAACAAAAGTTCGAATCAAAAGTCGATCAGCATAGCGTATAATAAGCACTCTTTCAAAACCACGTTGGTATAATTAAGTTTAATCCGTTCAAGCGTCGCATTAGAAGTGAAATTAGTGATGCAATCGGGACAATGCAAAACCACGCCATCACCCTTTCACTCTCGGATAATCTTTCCCGTGCAATCTAATCGAGGTCGAGATTTCTCAAGGCCGTATGATATTTCTGCTCTATTCTGTTAAAAGACATCTAGATAACATTTTCTTGCAACTAATACACTTCAAAACAGCATTTACTTTAAAAGGACATTGTTGTCTAGAATATGAAAAAAATTGATCCTTTCTTGTGTTCTTTTTATGTTTAGATTATCAAAAATAAATTTCAAAAAAATTTTGGCAAAATACAAAAGAATGATGAGAAGCTACACGTATTTATAAATTGCATCACCAAAGAAATTGCCTGTATTAAAAATGGTTTTTGACACTTGTTGACAGAATTTTTCGAGAAGTACTCGGTTTCAAGTTTTTTCTTCAAAAATAAGACACATCTATTTATAATCTATAATTATTGTGATATCTTTAAAATTTAATTAATTTTTTTGCAATTGTTAGAGTTAAAATATTTTACATCTAAAAAATCGATATGTGTTTCTTGAAACTTTGCCCTTTTGATAATTTTTAATTTCTTTTCTTTCTGATACACGGGTTATAGCCATAATTAATAAAAATCTTTTAGATTGTTTCGTTTCAGATGAGTAGAACTGTTGCGATCGGATCACGACAATGTTTCTTTTTTTCCACCATGATAAATGTGACGTAGAAGGTCTCGATACATGCAAGAAAAAAAAAACGATTTTTAGTTCGGCGCTTTTTTGTACATCGAAGAAGCTGAGAAAAATTTTGGAACGCAAATCTCGACTTTTCATTGTAACATTGTATCAACATGCCAAGGAGGAAATTAAGCAAAGAGACCCGCCGACTTCTCGCGGCAATTATTATTACGTACAGTTCCTTTCGAAGATGAGAAAATCCGATAGCTTCGCCGTTATGAGAAGGATGTTTTGTAGTGATGTCATGGACTATGAAGAAACTCATAAAAGAGAATAAAATTGTGTAGTGAACGTGTCGAATAGAAATCGAGAGGTTGCAGTGTGTAGTCGCTGCGTAAACGTGTGTCAGGAACAACTTTCTATTGATCTAATATACGAACATTGCCATTGATATTGCTATAGCTGAGTGTGATTATCGCATTGAGATACCTTAAGCGGAGAATATTTCAGTTTGTCAAGAGATATGTCAGATGACTAGAAAAGTTGGTACAATTTTTTTATATTAAATTTAACGTTACCTATTATTAACGCGATAAAAAAATAGTAATGTAGATATTAAATTTTGTATATATAAATAGCGTTATAGAAAAAATGTCATCAAAGTGTCATTTCATAAAACTATTCTGATAAAGTACAAATTTCTTTGCAATTTAAAAAAAAATCTAAGATGTAGTAGATTTCAATCTTAGATGCACAAGCAAACGTTTCTACTGCAAGCAGCGTAGCGTTAGCTTTACGCAAGTATGGTAAACCTTACACTGGAAGTCAGTGCAATCGGCCGATGACCTGGAAAGTCAATGCAATTCATGACAGCTCATATCCCTATCCTCGCCTCTCGTTCTAACTAATTGGGTCGACTCTCATCCGGAAACATTGATATTGAATCGAATTTTCTGCCGCCGAATTACAAGTACCTGATAACATTTTAATTTTACAAAATTCTTCTTTGTTCTTGTATTATTTTATTTATTTCGAATTTTCACGTCAAATATATGTATGTAAAATATTAATTGCCAAATCGGTCTTTAGTAAATTAATTCTTGAATTTTATTATCAGATTTTTATTAATAGAGAACTGAATTATTACGCTCAGAAAGTAACAACAGTAACAATTGCACGAACTGTCATACATTTTTATAATATATTTCTACATATACCTACATATATATATATGTATGTATACAAATCTATCATATAATGAAATCTCTATACGTAACGTCACAACTAGCAACTGGTGCCTTTTAAATAGTGCCTTTTATTTTTAAGTGCTCACACATTATTGCAACAACTTTCTCGCACGCGTAAACATTTTTTACATTATTTCTAAAACTTGTAATATTGTTTGAAATAATAATAAATAAATAAATAAATAAAAACACACAAATAGAATATGTGCCAATTTACACACAGCTCAATTTTAGCCTTTATCAAATTTTACAAAATAATCTGCATTTTGATTTTTAAAGATTCTTTAAAAAAATGTTTTTCAACGATGGTATCGTTTGGAATTACTATGTTGTACTTTGTGAGAGAAAGTGCAATCATCAACGTTGAAATGCGAGCACGTTGACGCATGTGTATAAATGAATAGTGTCGCGTGTTTGTGCCATTTGATGAGCTGCAGTATTGAACACGATCTGATATTGGAGGAGCTCTCTACTACGATGTACTTTGTACGACAATGATGGATTAACATGCAATTTATTGTAATCCCTATTCAATATGACCATACATATATAAGACGTAGAAATTATTTAATCAATTTACTCGTACCATTTATATTAAACAATACTGCTTTTTCACTTTTATATTATTTCTATAAATTCAGTCACAAGTCTGTTTACACTCTGAAAATCTAATTAAACGAAATTGCTTTCATCAAATAAAATAAGCCAAATAAATCGCAACCTTTTCGCAATTTCTGTGTAAAAATCATCAGAAACAAACAAAAACGGATAAAAACATGCGTCACGCAATAAAACAATCCATGCGTTTTGAAAAACTTTTCGCAAAAACTTGTATGCTATTCGATAGCAAATTCATCCTTTTCGCACAAAATTCACACACTCGTTTCGTATTGAAAAACACACGCGTGAAATGTGTTGCACGTACACTTCGCATTGTATTTTCCACAGTTAGACAAGGGCGATAACGGGACATAATAGAACAAATCGTACAAACGCTTCTACGGAAGCAGTCTCAAAAAAATTTCGTCCTTGTTCCGCGCCATAAAGTGTGTGATGTATTGCACTCACCTGCAAAAATAAGCAGCCACATAGCGAGAACAAATGAGTGACGGGGTGCCGAGCGAATGTTCGATGGAAGTGGATTTCTAGTGGCTTTATAGACCGAGGGGAAAGGCCGCACCCGCGGATCCGGACCAGGTGGGATTGTTCTATACGTCACTTTTCCGCGGTGTGCTGTGCACCAAAGTGCATCGGATTATATTAGGTTGCACTGCATGAAGTACAGTCTTTGGAGTGTGTGTCTTTGAAGGTCAAAGTAAAAAGTTTTATTTCATTAAAATATACATGTACCATAATCGTTAATAGGCCTTTTCCAAACTTAAGTTTTTCTTTCATCTTCTTTATGCAAAATTATCGGACATTTAAAAAATTAATATTGTATCGGATGACAAGATACATTGTAATAGAACAGACTATCGTTGCAATATGGCACAAGAGCGAACCAAAACTTTTCGCAACGTAATCACGCTTTGCGCAAATAGTTATGCGTTAAAACAAACACACGTGACAGACTTTATTGTCTGTCGAATTGATTTTATATTTAAAGGCTTTTACATTTTATATTTAAAGGCATTTTTATGGAAATTACTTACATTATTTTAACGAAATGGAGGACAGCTCTGATTGTCGATCATTCTAGCCAAACGGCTTCAAAGGCCAACAGACAAAATAAAAAATAAGCCGATATATATATTTGTTGTAGATACAGTTTCAAATAAACACATTTGATTTTCAAACTAGAGATCAATGACTGTACTACATTACAGTTGCGCCATATAAGAGCACTCTCGCCCCCACCGAAAAACTTTTCTCATAGCGGGCCGTGCGTTGTATAAAGTTACCTTGTGTGTATAAGCGAAATTCGCGTAATGCAGATGTGCACGCGAGTTAGTACTTGTGTGACTAAGTACACACAAGAGACCAGTGCAATGAAAGAATGCGGCTGCTTTGCTTGCTACAAACCGCCGTGGGAAAGGTAATCGGTCGGAAGAAAAGCAATCTGGATATATTAGATGAATGTGTGTTTTTCCCTGAAGCTGCTTTCAATTCTTTAAATCACACAGATTGATCTGGATTAATTTCTTATTTTCTATTTTTAAACTGCGACATTTAATATAAGCAAATAATGAATAATAGCACATACATAAAGACTACAAAAAAACATTATTTTTAAATAAAAAACAAAGAAATAGCATATACTTTTATATTTTCAGTATCAATGTGAATTTATAAATTTTAAAACATATATGTGAACGAAAGTTATATATGTTTTAAAGCAATGAGTAATTAAACGCCACAAGAAATTATATCTAAAGTTATATGACAATATCAAAATGAGAATGCTAATATTTATATTTATTAAAATTTGAAAATGTATGTTAAAACATTGGTACTGTGAAAAACCTGTCAAAATTATTTTGTTAAATTTACGTAAAATTTACGCACAAATTTCTTGATTAGTTTAAAAGTTATGTAATTTATATGTTTACATTGATTCTGGAAAATGCTTTTCTAATAGTATATTGTAACAGTTGTTGACACAAATTTGACAAAAAAGCAACTTTGCCAATTAAATTTAATTTTATATGTAACAAAATTCTAACAAATATTTACACAGAATTTTACTGATTGTCAGATTCACAACTCATCAGTTTGAAATATATATTGTTTTCAAATTTTAAGAATTTTCAGCTAAATTTTTATTAGATATAATATCTTTTTAAATATATGTATCTTTAGAATAGAAATAAATAGAGATAAGAGATATAAGTTATATATTTTTAATATAATATATATAATAATTATATATCTTAACATATATTAATTATATATCTTACCGTCTTAAAACCATGCTAAGAAAAGCGCTAATAATTATGCTACAAATAGTAAGAAATATTGCCTACTAATGTAGCTTACAAGAATTCACAATTGCAGTTTATATATGCCGAATTTGATTGCACCGACTTCCGATTGCATATCTGATTGCTATCGAAATACATCACTTTTTTCGCGAAATCACGACGCATACACGAACCTATGCCAATAATGCCAACACACATTCGCATTACAGTTTCACGCTGTTTTCTCACCGTGAGCGAGCGTGTAATAAACTCGCTCATAATAAAACCGTGATTGCGAAAGCTCAGACGATTAGACAGTAATAAGATGGCAGAAAAATGCAACTGACCAAGTATTTTACAAGGTTTTCTCGATAACCATCTAACGAACATGTAATCTCCAACCAGACAATATCTGATAAATCAGTTACAGTTACATCAGTTTCAAGTATATTAATCATCTTTACATTTTTTAGATTTATTTGTTTGTCTGTGATTTTATAGCTTATTTTATTGTATTATAAAATAGCTTTAATAAACTTTTGTGATTAATTATAAAACAAAATAGAAAATATATACAAATCGATCGATTGATAAGACTATAGTTTTCGTTAAAGCACAAATTTATTCACTGTATTCATATAAGGAAATCAGTTTAAAACGAACTAGTTTCTATGCGCATTTTATCAATTTTTAATTACTATAAGTTTTCTCTTGTTATGTGAGCCGCACAATACACGATTTTGGTCAAAATTAGTCCAGATAAATACGAAAATACAGTATTTATAAATTCTCGTAATTATCGCTTTCGACAGGCATATTATAAAGTATGAATTTAATGTTGCTATATTATACTTTCATGTTCATTAAAAAGTATTAAAAAGTGCTAGTGGTTTAGAAGTGATTTCGTCGAAAACAATTGAATTCGAGTGAAAGTATATCTTTATGCGCGAATCTACAGAAATCCATAATTATATTAAACATTATTGTTTAAAGCATGATAGTGATATTCTTGTCTTTTAATTAAATAGGTTGGAACAAGTATATGTAAAAAATTGAAATATATTTTTTTTTATATTCGCGATGGGCTTTGCGCTACATGTGTGTATGTGTGTATGTGTGTATGTATGGTCTGTGTGTGTGTGTGTATGGTGTGTATGCGCGTGTACAGAGTCGCGAATTGTCAGAAACAGTTTATATTACTCATTGTGAAGTATATTAAATTTTTTTATTACTGATTTTAACCAGGCAATTGTAAATAAGACTTGTGTGAAGATGATAAATTCTGCATATAAATCAAATTAAATAGCTACGTAGCTAATTATATTTAAATTACGATAATTTTCATTTTTTTTCGAATTGCGTCCTTTGTCTCTTTTGGTACGTATGGATTTTTTAGTGGATCTCCGTTAAGCCTGTAAATGTAAAGTTGAGAGTAAGTACATAAATACATAAACTAATGTTGTTTGTTATATTTAATAATAATTAAATATTGTTATAACCTGACGGCTCTACGTGGAATACGTGACTTTAACAAAACAAAAAATTTGGAAAAGAGAAAAAGAATATTTCTGCATCATTATATGTATGTATGAGCGATTTAAGATCTTATTGATGATCACAAAATTTTTCCTAGAGTTGTTGGTCTTATTCGTATTCCATTAGAATGTTTAATGAGTTAATAAATCATTATATCTTTGTAAAATATTTTATGTACTTTGTTAATGCATACCTGCTAAAATAGAACAACCGTTAATACTGAAAAATTCACCTGTAAAGAGATGGTGCGTTGGCGCAGTTAACATTATACCACCAGTCGCATGCAAATTCGTGCTGATTGAAAAGTGTTCCATTGGTGCACAAGAAAGATGCACCTTGATGTCCTTCGCGTCCATCATGACAAATATGATACGCCTGTAACAATATTATAAAAAGTAACTGTACCTAATATGATCTAGGATTCAATATACAAACTTATCTACTGACTATTTATTAAAATTTTATATTTACGATATAAATTTAAAATATATTTGGGCCAAAAATTGTCAATGCTAATAGTACGTAAGTTGATCAAATAAAACTTACTTTTTCTGTTTTTTTAATATAGCATTTTTATTTTGATCTACAAAATAGCAATTTTACACACATGTACGTATATATACTATATAAATACATATAAATATACAGTGCAATCTAATGATAGAAAATTATATTGTTTAGGAAGTTACTGTAATTTGGGCGTTATCATTTTTTACTACTGGTAAATGCCCTCTTATACTTTTTATATAGGGAAAATTTGTTCTTAAATTTAATGTTAAATGCTTATTAATTAATGTATTTTATTGATCTATTTTTAAATTATAAAACATAAACAAATTTTATTATTCTTATAAGTTTTATCGAATTTAAAAATATTTTTCTTCTGAAACACCTACGCTTTGATTCTTGTAGTCTCTTTTTCTGTTGGTTTTTCTTGTACCAGTGATATCGATAAACAAATCGATATCACTTTGTATAAACTGGTGGAGTAAAGATAATACGCGATGCTCTTCTGTTACATAAATATGTATCATAATTAAGGAATTAATGTGAAACTGTTGTGCAAGTTTGTTGAAAATAATAGGAGTAATATGAAACGGTAGAAAGAAGTCAGGTTTTAAGGAAATACACAAAGGAAGCGAATGACATTCTTGAGAAGGAAAGTTTAGCGCTCTGAAAATCAAGTCGCAATGCATAACGGAGTCACGTAACGTTATTTATGTCAGTGCGTTTTATTATCCATTAAGGATTCAGCAATAAACCACATATATACTGTCATATTTTTATGACAATTGTCGTTCTAGTCTTTATATTTAATTTATTATTAGTTTATTAAATGCATGTATATCGAAAATAACACACACAATATTTGTCACAAAGAAAAGAAATATTTTCTTAAAAATTACGAAGATTGTCAAGCTGAAACAAAATTACGTAGAGTGTATTTCGACTCCAAAAGACTGAATTCAAGCTCAATTAAGTACGACAAAATTTGCCAAGACTTTTCTCGCAGTTTGTCTTTCACCGAGACGAGATCGGTTCTTACTCCTGCGTTGCCTTGAGATTTTAATAATGCCAGCGCTCGCATTCTCTTACATAATAAATCCGCTCTACTTTAGTCGCTTATACACCGTGTTGAAATAACGAAATAATTTTTCCTTGCTTTGTGAGCAGCATCATCGATTTTGTACAACAAAATTCCACGTAAAATGTGTGACGCGGAAAAAATTATTTTGCACATACACTATTAGCATTGGATAATAATGGCTGATAAATCATTGATAAAGCATTTATTTGATTAAACAATTTAATTTTTTAAATAATTAAATTTTATTTTTAGTACCGTTTAATTTAATCTGAATATTAGTATTGCATTCGAATGTTATACCATACATCCGCATTTGCATTCCAATTTTATTTCGAGAATAGAATGCAAATAATTTTTGTTTTGAAATCATGTTAAAATATGCAATATAGATACTAATATGTGCATTGCTTCTACATTTTTGCTCTATCAAAGTCCTTGATCCGTAATATATTCTTGATGTTTTATACTTTTGCGACATTTGTTCTATAATAATGTCGTACTAACCAAACTTATAATGTGCTTGAATTATTTATACTTTTAATGTCAACTTAATTTTTATTCGGATTTTATATATTTAAGTTATTTTCTCATTGTTATCGTAACAATCTGTTAGGTATGTTATAGTAGTGTTAACATTTCCTTAAAAAAATTCTTCAATAAATGAAACGTTATTATACACAAAGAAACTAGAAGTAATATATATCATTTGATATAATAAAAATAATAGTAAAAATGATATCATTGCAAAATGAGCGTTGACTCCGATAAGCATTATACATTTGTTGAAAAGCTTGTAGAAAAATGAAATACACCATGGGATTCCGTGTAGTTTTATCTATTAATCATTATCAAAACACTATTTTATTCCCATGATTATAAACAACATTTAAAATAACGGAAAAAGAGAATTAAACAATTTTTTTACATCAAAATAAAAAGTTCTTAGCTACTAACAGTCTTCCTTATTTAGCTTTATTCTAGTTCTTATATATAAACATTCTCAAAACACAAAAATTACCAAAATGTTTTTAAATCAAAGCAAATTCATTCTAATTATTTTTACATAAATTTTGGTTAATATAAAATATTGTAAGCAAATAGAAGCGTACTTGACAGCCAGTTTCCACGTTTGCGTACATTCCTGGTACAAACGGAACATACGCGCAGGAAAAACTTGTAGGCGGCACCGTATGATAGATAGGATAATCTATTCCGGGAATTCCAGGAATTTTGCTAAAGTCCTGTTCCTTCTTTGACTCTTCCTTCACGATGATAGGCTGACGAAATCCCACTATTGGTTGGAAATTTTGATATTCATCGTGATAATCGTCCACCGGCACTCGTTCCTAATCAGAGTTTATAAAAAGAATTGACAGCAATCCGTTAGTGACACAGTTAGAAAAGTTATTTAATGACGATATTTTAAATGAGTAATAATAGCACTTATAGTACATTTTAAATGACTAATAATATATATTGAAAAGAACACAGTTCACAATTTAACGGTTTATTTTAATTATGTACTGCGCGCGTATGATACAATTTTTTAGTTATAGATTAACACGTCTGCAAGAAAAGAAATCTTTATCAAACAGTTCTAAATATTTTTTAATCTTTCTAAAATGTGTTTGTGAAAAATAGTACAGTTGTAACATATATTAAAAATATTTTATTAAGAAATAGCAGAAAAATACACAATCTAAATAAAAATAAACTGATTGTATTTTAGAAATTGTTAATAAATATAACTGTCACATATGCACATTAGTTAGACATTATTTATATTTAATGGATAATTATTATTAATATGCCGAATAAAATCGAAATTTACCTGAACGATGGCTGAACAGAAGGCTGCCAGTATAGCGGCAAGTAAAAGTACGGCAAAGATACAGCGACTTCTCAGCATGACTGCACCGAGTTTGAATATGAACGAAACTGGACCTGTTTCCGCTGTAAGGCTATGCTAGGTATACGAGAAATTATGTCACACACAGAAAGAGAAAGTCTAAAACACACGTAACGCAGGACATCGAGCAATTATCACCCTAAGAGATACGTGTGTGTCGACTAATTGCATTATATGAAATAGAAATTTTAACAAACTATGGACTCCCGACGTAATTAGAATCATGGTAAGACTCGTACAATTTGCCACAACTTAATGCATTATGCTAATGAGTTTTTGTCTACCCATACAGCACAAAATATCCTATATATCCTTAGGACATCTTGGGGAGATCTCGATGTCCTCAGAACATCCTTGGGACACCAAAATATCCTCGATGTCTTGAGGATATCCTGAGGATGTTTTGTGCTGTATGGGTAATTATTCTGTTTTTGATAAGTGATTTGCATTCTTATAAATTTTTCCAAGATTAAATATTGTACAAATTGACGTAAGAGAGCAAAAACGTGACTAACAATTTGCGATTAATAATTTTTAAATATATTTCTTCTTGCCAATTTCTTCTAAATATTTCCTAGCCTACTCATGCATCTGTGGGAGTCCCATGGCATAAATAATTCCGTGATCAAGCATGAAGATTCGAAATCCGTGGACCCATCGATGATGGTCGAGCACAGATCTCGAAACAACGTTGATAACGATCGGCCACCGAGTAATGGTCGATTATCAACATAAACTTCGTGTGACTTCGGACGCAAATAGCGAAAATTGAACCAAGCTCTGCGCTATGCGTTATGCCGAAACAATCACTCTCGGATTTTAGATGCAATTAGCGGTAACTGAGCGGAGCTCTACGCTAAGTATTCCTCAACAAATTTGCGCACACAAAAGTGCGTATAAATGTGTGAAAAATTTAATTATTAACTCTCGTAAGTTAAATCGTTTAATCGTCGGTAAATTGTTGTTTTTATCCGCATTTCACAATCATTAGACTATCGGTTTATTCGATTCATACAAGTATTTAGATCTTTTATTAGGTAGGATTTTCTATTAGATAGAATATTTTTATCAAGTAAGATTTTTTGTTAGACAAGATTTTACAACTTTGCATAAATTTTATATTTTTTTTCTTTAATTCTTTGCATCGACAAACTTTGAAAACTTTCGCTTTGTGAGTTTGCAGTGAGTTTGCAATTTGTCGGTGATAAAGATAATAAGAAAACTTTGAATGGACAAATAAGATTCTCTTTCAAAGAACGAAAGAAGTTTCTTGCGCAAATAATAATATAATAATTTTTAACACATATAATGGAAAGGCTCATATGATGACAATCAAGTAATATAATAGAAGAGCATTTAAGAACCGTCGCAGGATGTTAGTGCGAAATTTTTAATTTTTCTAATAATAATTTTTACTATCAAAATATTAATATTTTTGCATTATTAGACACTTTGCTTTGACACAAATAAAAAATCGTATTGTTTGACTCTTTTCAAGTATAGTCTTTTGCATCGTCCATAAAACTTCTAAGCGTTTAAATGACTTTATTAATATCTTTATAGCACAAAAGCTACTGTATATTATACTTTTTATATTCGTATATTGTATTATAATTTGTAATAATAATACATATTATATTATAGGCCATGAATCTTTCGCGTTTACTCCTGAATTCGTATGCTATTAATCTTTCACATTTACTCGTACTCCTGGATTCGTAAGCTATTGATCTTTCGCGTTTACTTATACTACTGAAATCGTAGGCCATTAATCTGACGCGTTTATTCATACTACTGAAATCATACAGCATTATCTTGCCGTTTTCTCATTCTATCTAATTTATAAGAAACATATCTATAAAATATAAAAGTAAATTAAGTTAAAGCGATAAATAAATTTATAAATGTTAAATAGAATAAATTATAAATTTATTACAAAACAATAAATGTATTTCTTATTTTAATTTAGCTTTATTTATTTTCACTGACATCCAATCATACAAGCAACGTACCATTAAAGAGAGCATACACCTACGTATATATGTAACTGAAATATGTTTTACAATCTTTTTTTTCTTTCTTAAACTTAATTTTCTAATTTAGATTGTCAACTAAATAAACTCAAAATAAATGATATTTAATCAAGCAATGAATTTTTCTCTTGTTATTTTTACTTAAACTTTATGGATATTTCAATATTATTTTGACTTTACTGCTTGCACTGTACAATGTCGAACCATTCGCAGCGCTTATTTGCTTCGTAAAATGCGGTTCCTGGTGGGCACAAAGAAGATACTTTCGATGAACCTAAACAGTTGTGAAATACCTGCAAGAAATAACAGATATGACACAAATAATTGTTGCGTGACTTAATTCAATTTTCAATAGCTACATTAAGTTTTTAATTTTTTAAATTTTGACTGTAGATTTGAATTTAGGTCTTCTAACGAGCTTTGAACATATATACTTTACGTAAATATTTAATTGTCTCTTCTAAAAATTATTTTTGACAATAAAGTATTTTTATTTTTGAACAGTTAAGAAATTAAACAAAGGATTAAATTAAAGCTCAATTGTTTTCGACATCTGATTTAAACGGTTCCAATCTAGTTAATATCATTAGATTTTGTCTGTTTATATTTTTATGTTGCAATTTAACTAAATTTTATGATTTGTAATTTTAATTTTCACTTTTCTTTTTCTATAATATTATTGAAAGCATAATGTAAATTAATATTAGAAAAAAAAATAATGTAACGTATGATTTGTCAAAAAAAAACAATGACAAAAACAAACACGAGCCCGTTTTTTATTAAATAAATTTTGTTCGTATTCTCTCATTCTTTAACTACTTTTATACATTCTTAATATTTCTCAATTTTATAATTTAAGCCCTTTCCTTCCTTTCTCTATTTTCTATCAATCTGAAGAAGACCTGAAGTGTGGTCAAAATATATTTGTTATTTTCATATATTAATTTATATTTTTTGCGGTCCAATAGCCGTAAGAACTTTTGATTTTTATTGTTTTTCTTGTCATTGTTAAAAAAAAGAATTAATGAGCCTGTTTTACTTGGCATTTAGTTTCGATGTCTGCGAACATTCCGTTCCTTCCACGGCAAGAAAAACTGGTCTCCGGTATACTTGTAAGATTTGTGTAGGCAGGATTGTGAGGATTGGCGATAATTGACTTGATTTTCTGATAAGACGACAGTTTCAATCCACTTTGTAATTCTTGATATTTTTGGTCCTGACGATGCTGTTGATTTCTGTCGCTACTTTCAAAATCCACATGTCTCAAGGATCGTTCATGGAACTCATCGAGAAATCCTTGATAATCCGTGATAACCTACAAAACAGTATGGCTCCGATTAATTTAATAATACAGAAAAACTACTCATACATTTCCAGGTGGGGGTTCACAATCGGTAGCTACATAGATTTCAATATTGACGAAATACTGCATGCCGACGAATATTACGAATGATATCGCGCGGTCAATATCGTCTCAATACTTTCCGTTTATGTTATAAAATTTATTATATACATTCATGTAAGATATGTATTATATTAATACATCTTAATACAATAAAAAAATAATAATTAATACAAACAATATTACCCGATGCGAATTGAAGAGTGCGATGTTGTCGATAAAATAATCGTCAAACGGTTTATATACAGTATCCCAGTCATACTCTGTTCTCCAACTTGAATCAAATAGTTCCGTATCAGCCGGAAGTATTAGAGGCATCATAATAGGTTTGTAAACTTCCGGTTTAATGGACGATACGATCGGAACAAATTGTCTATAATTTGAATAAACCTGTGGCTTTGGATAATTTGTCAGTTTTTCGTAAGCGTTCAGTGTTTTGTGATTCGTATGCATAAACGGCCTACGTATAATGTAGGTCGTATCGACGGTTTTCGGATGATTATAGTGAGGTCGGCCTTCTGGAGATACGTATCGGCCATCTGATGTTAGATAGACCTAAATTGAATAAAGAAAACAATGATTTTTTAGCTAGAGAATATATTTACATTGTGTATACACACGTATATACCAACATATAAACATACCTTTATTATTTCTAACATTTTTTTATCGGAATAAGAATGTTTGTGGATATGCCGAGCGTCTAGGACTATACCGTCAGGTACAGTGATACCTTCCTTATTCAATCGATTCAATGCCAAGCGATCCGTTCTGAAAGCTTCTTCTGGAATCTTGCCACCTAATGCAGGCAGCACTTGTTCACGAAAGATTTGCCGTTTTCGCTGCAACAGTTATCTCGAATAATTTACTGAGACCAATAACAATGTATATATTTTCAATGGTAATATATCATATATATTTTTAACAATTTAATAAATTTAATGCGTTATTTCGATGATTAAATTCGCCTAATGATACATTTTAGAAAATTATTTTATAATCCTGATGATATATTATCCATTACTGAACTTCCTGCAACACAATGTAATAAACTTGACAACAGTAAACCAGCAAATTGTTACAGAAAATTTATAGAAATAATAATAAATGCACTACTTCATAAAACATAGGGAACATCATTCAAACGTTCGAAATCGAACAATTTTCAAATCATTCAAGTTCGACAAAAAAATCTTTGCAGACGAAAGAAGTTTGTACTTTTACATGCTGTACTTTTACTTTTAGAAGCGTTTTTTGAACATTTGTTATTTTTACACTTTTAAGTTAACAAAAGACATTGTTTTGTTTTTAAAATTAGGTACGTATGTTCAACACTCCGCAGCTTAATAAAAAAATTTTTCTCGCCAAATTCACGACAAGTATCAAAAATTACATTTTACAAAAATACATTTCTTAAAATTTGGCTACTAATTTTTTTTTTTTTTTTTTTTTTTTTTTTTTTTTTATATTATTATTATTATTAAGTTACATGACTTTGAAGCTAAACATACATTTTTTACGCTAATGCTACTGCTGATGTAAAAGTCAATTTTTACAAAAGAACTATCGTCAAAATGACAAAATAAAAAATATTCATCATGTGTTAGTCAGTGTGTATTGCGTAGGTGATTTGTCATAATAAAGTACGATTTAAAGAGGCAAAAATTGTTTATATGCTTTGAGCGTCATGCTATAAATTTAAATTATAGCGTAACTTTTACTCGCCATCGAAAAGCATTAAGGAAAAAAATTGCTTAAGATTTTTGAATATTTAACCTTTTCTGCATTAGCATGCTCGAATAAAATTGCAGCTACCAACAATAATCGACACCAATGTCCTCGTCTATTTGTCTTCATGATGAGGAACTTCTCCTTTGTCGATTTGTAGTTATATTGTCAAGCGCATCTTTCCAATAATCATTTTGATCTAAAATAAAATGTATTTGATGTAAAACAGCACATTTTAAATAGAGTATTTGTGCAAATCACAATATAATCATCACTGAGTTACAATATATTACAATATATCGTAATATATTAGTTTTAAAAATTAAGGAAATCACTTAATTAAGGAATCCTCAACAAACAAGGCAAATGTTAGATAGATCACATCGTGACTTGCACATGTTACGTAATACAGATACGTGCAGCTATCGTGCAAGATAGTAAATAAGTAGTAATAAATGCACTTTCAAAGTGATGCTTGTGCGAATCTCGCTATGTTATCGATAACTTTACGATTCATTGCTTCAGTAATTTATTCTGGTTCTTTCCAATGAATAAAAATATTTATATATTTTATAAAGTGTGTATATTAGTATATAATGTACTGTAAATAATGTGTTTGCGTGTAAACTGATTGCATTGTGTAAATTTACATTTGCAGGTTAATTCCCATCTTTACGTAACATTTTCTTGTTGTTGGATATTTATTCAAGTATAATAATATACTTTTAAGAACTCTTGAGTCTTCAAAAATGACCAAAATCTGATTTGAATAATAGATAAAGAATTTAAAAAAAACCGATTTATAATTTATTCATGACTAACGTAAATATATCTTTATGCAAATAATAATTTAGTTGATTGAACAGTTATTTACATAATTTTTTTCATTTAAAATATATTACTCCGACTTAATTTTATTATAGACACATATATTTGATCTTCGATGTCAGCACGCTGTACGATGCGAATGTTCTATTTAGTAATAAGCGGCGTACTCAACACCTCGCATCGGTGCAATCGCTCCCCACTGTCCCTTAGCCTTGTTCTAATTACATCTAGATACCTAAGTTGTTGCAATCTTCTTCATCTCAGTTCTTCATTTCATTCTTCCTACGTTGCAGAGAGTAGATAGGCATGAAATGCGAAAAATTAACCCACAAGTTTAAAAATTTGTTTCTATAATTTTAGCAAATTTTACAATCTAAATAGCAAATAATAACAGCAATGATAGTTAATCGTCGATATTAATATTAGCGTACGTATTGTACTGATTGCACTTTATCATTGATAAAATATAGAAATCAAAAATTATACCTCAAATGGAAAAAATACAATTTGCAAGTTGAGAATAAACACATTGACGCTTTATTACATCTCGGCTGCATCCGAGCTTGCCAAGATCCTTTATTTTTATTCTTGCAAATATCATTATTCACTCTTGTGAATTTTTGCAAGGTCATATAGTGAACGTCATCTTAGTAAGTTTAAACAAAGCAATTGTGTTTTGTGCTAGATTCACTTACCTTCTCACAACCTGACTTTCTTTTCGGCCCGTTTTAGCTAACACCAAGCTACCACTCAAACAAGTGTGTCCATTTTCATGGTAGCACCTTCGTTCAGGGTTTGCATACGCGATTGCACACACAGTATGTCTGAAAAATAACGGGATTTTAACATTAATATTATATAAATTTAAACATTGTGATGCCATAAAATAAATGATTTTTTTAAATAAAATGAATAATTATATTTTACACATATTATTAGTGTTTGAATTGGTATAATGTCAGTCCCGTTATTTTTCAAATTTATTTTGCACGCTCAAATTATAGGATTACGTTGGGATACCGAGATTGTAAGACGTTAGTTTAGTGCACGCTTAACAATCGTGAACGTAAAATCTTATTTAATAGCACAGTCAGACATTAATACAAAAATGCTATATACTGGTGGCACGAAGAATTTATAAGAGCAATCACTGTTTTATGCATACGATATTTATATCTCAATATAATTTAGACGATAATTATACGTGCACGATAGTAGCACGTTCATTCAAAAGGACAAGGTGCAATTTTTATTTTAACATTTTCTATTTTAGTCATACAAAATACTCGATATTTTTTTTTTTATTTTTTACCATTTTAACATTGTTTTATCATTATGAAAAAAATTTAAAATGTAATTCATATATCCTTAAAAAAAGTCATTAAAAAATTGTAAACTTATCGTGTTTTCTATCAAATATTGTAAGTAGACTGTTTTACAAGCAAAAGAAATTATTATTATTATGTAATAAGATTTTACATCATAAATATAGACGACATTTGCTAAGCAGCTTGCAGCTAAGCTTGCGTAAGCAAAGCTTTTCCGTATTTATTTCTGACTTAAGCAAATTTGCAATTTGATTTTGCAAAGTATGCATTTAATATTTAACCTCGCATTAATCTCGCACCTTCGATGATGACATGCTTTAGAGGAGGAAACTACGTAATTGGTGAAAAGGAAGTTTCCATGGTGAAAGACACGCAAAAGTAGCGCAGTATGCTGTAACGATGCAGACGAGTCAGAATAGAGATGTGCATCGCACATCGCATCGCATGTGATGGAATTTGCACCGTCGTTTGGCTTTTCGACGATTATATTATTCTTTGGAGTAACGACAATACACACAAACGCAGTGTTTAAAATATAGATTAAAAAATACACTAAGAACATAAGAGACCGTCTTCAAAATATTGCTACAATAACATTGCTTTGTATAAATTTGTCATTTCGGTAAAAATAGTAATTTCCACAGTTTCTTGTGCGCATATTTATTTTAAAATTTAATATAGACTTAAAAGAAAAGAGAAAGAGAGAAAGGGGAAAGGGGAGAAAGAAGAGAAGACGTTCTCTTTATTATGGTCCAAAGTAAACGCAATCTAAAATCGCCTTTCACAGAGCGAGCAATTCTTTGCTGTGCCATCACCGAGCATCAGTTCACACTGGTGTTAAATCATCCATCCGGACGTCCGTATGCTCAGATAACCCGTGAACACTTTCGCTTTCTCGCGATCGGGATTTTAACTAAATATAAAGTCACTATTGTAAAATTCTATATCTATGAAGATATAATCGGGGAAAATCGAAGAATCAACACTCGCACTGCATAACGTTGCAATATATTTCAACGAGACGTACATACATATAGATAACTGTTTATGCAATATTCTGTCGCGTAACTAAATTCAACATACATTATTGTAAACGTGTTGTTATATTATAAATTATTATAGTTTGATAAATCTTTCTAAATTTTCTATTATTTCTTGCTGCTGTTGAAAATTTTCTTTTAATATTTCTAATGTGACAATTGCTTTACAAAATATTTTAACAAGTTGTTGATTTTTTTCTCCTTATTCGATCATTTGGAAAATGCTGTTATTACTTCGTTTTTTCATTTATAACCACTTTTTGATCAAATACTATATAACTCTTATGAGAATATACTCAAATATATAAAATTACAAGGCGATTATTTTCATTAGGCATTATATAGCAAGTTATTATATTTGTCACTAGAAATGTGGTATGTAGAATTGACAACATTTTTCAATTTATCTTTGAATGATGATTCGACACTGCAAGAAACGTATGTTTATGATGTTATTAAAAAATAGGAAAAACTTAAACTCTGGGGTATTTTTTTTAAGAAAACAGAAAAAATTATGTTTCTTATATTAATACTTCTTATACTAAATTTTAGGTTTTGAATTCTGTTCTTTAATTAAATCTTATACTAATGATTGAAAGAATCTAAGAACTTTATTGTCTTTAGAAGCAGCACAAGAAGGATGTTTCTTATAGGACGAAAGAGTTTTTAACATTTCTCTCTTCACACTTGTCATTATACAATACAGTTAAAGTAGCTCTAAAGAAAGATTAATGACAAATTGCATGGTTAATAGCAATATTCCACAAAACTAGTTATATGTACTTTTCTCAGATAAAATAAATTCTAGCGTGAACAATTATTAATAATTACCGCAATTTTTAGAAAGACATTAAAGATGTCGCTTTTACAATAAAATATATACATTTGTGTGTGTGCGTGTGTGTGTGTGTGTCTTGTCTTTTGCAATATTTATTGTAAAAATCTATTCAAAATATTTTCAAAAAAATTGTAATAAATATATAGCAAAAATGAAGACAGAAGAATGGAAATAATTCTTACCTTGCAAATTCGTAATAAATTTTCTTTCAATTTGTCAATATAACACACTTTTAACAAATTTGCGTTGATTCGCCACAAACAAGACTATTACAATTATTTCAAAAATTAATTGTCGCTCTAACTGAAAAACATCTTTAAAATGCACATTGCAACGCGATTAGGTATGTTAGATACTGAATCGGGAAGTTGAAGAATGGTGAAGATGATACTAAGTCCGCTAGTAGGAATTCGCCTTGTGATATACTCAGGGAGGTTGAAGCACGTGAACCTAGTTTGAGATACTTTCACTAGACGATCGGGACAATCTTAGCCGGCTATGTCTACATCTTCCTTTCTAAGCATTATTAGTGTGGTTTGCGTTAGAGACTCGGACCATATTGGACCTTTATTGTAAAGCATGTCGATATCTACAAAAAAGATATAGGACTTCAACCCTCTATTTCTCACCGTTTCAGATGAGAGTGGTCAAAACTTCCTGATCCAAAAAATCGAGTATGTGGAGGTGTATTTGTGGATGGTATTTTGACGAGAGGAACAATTCATCACCTACAAATCAATGACCTATTAGTTATTTGCGATTAGTTATTTTGAGAAAAATTTTTCAAAATTTTTTGCTCGACGACCGAAAATCGAAAAAAGTACTGGTAGTGCATTTTCAAAAACTTGAAAACAGCTTTCAAAAATGTTCTATCAACCATCCCTTTATTTTTCATAATTTCGAAGATAGTTTGAGCTGTTTTTTTTCTTTTTCTTCCCTTTTTTTATCTTTTTCGAGGGCTTATATTATTTTAGCCGAGACTCAAACCATTTTTTAGCCGAGACTCGAACCATTTTTTAACCGACACTCAAATCAAATTATTTGAGGTTTGTATGTATAGAGAGTGTGCATAGAGATCATTGCAGTTCACTGATCTAACATGAATTGACAGTTTTGATTCAGTTGTGTGTGTAACTTTTATTTAGTAGATTAGAGTTTATACTGATCATTTGATACGTTCGTCGTACGTTATTTTCGTACTGAATTTGCACTAAATAATTTAATTTGGCGTTGTAAATGATATATATGTACGAATATGATACGAATTTAGTGCGGACAAGACATACGATATAAACTAGGCCAGCACTTATTCTTCTCTCTGTGAAAAACATATTTGTCAAATGGCGATACATGTTATTAGAAATAATTTATCGAGATTTATTGAAAAACGTAAGAATGTTTGTATTTTTTATCTGTGTAGCATATTATTTAAAAAGTCACAATAATATCTATGTTATGTTTAATGTATACCTTTTAGAAAAAGAATTATTATCAATATTTTTCATATTGTGTTTTATAAGTAAACTAATTTACTTTCTTAATTATTTAACAAGGAAAAGTGTTGTTTCTTTGATTGATTTATATAACTTATAGGTTTACAAGCTGCTTTTACATTAAGATACTCTACGGAAATGCTACCCACATATAAAACATTAATAATATCCATTCCAAAACCATTTATTTATATGGTCAAATTGAACAGGCCACAAAAAATGAATGCAATAAATTTAACTATGTGGCAGTATGTAATCATCTATTCCTCTCTTCTTTATGTTTTTTTAATTTATAATATACTTATATATTTTTATAAATCATTTTGTAGAGAATTTAAGGAATGTTTTCAAGAATTAACAGTGAATTCAGATTGCAGAGTGGTTATTTTGTCAGCTGCTGGCAAGGCGTTTTGTGCAGGTAAACAATGAAAAAATTGTAAATAAAATATTCTAGCACTGAAAGAATATTATTTCAGGAATTGATGTACAAGGGATGATGGAAGTGGGTCAGAATCTTGCACAGCATGAAGATATTGCACGTAAATCCAAAGTTTTGGAATCTATGATTCAAGATTATCAAGATTCATTCACAGCTATAGAAAAGGTCTTACTATTTGTATAAATGATAAGAAGCATTTTTTTAGATAAAACAGATGAAACTTTCACTAGATTAGATTTTTTTTTTTAATTTGTATAGTCAGCATAATAATGCAAAATCAATTAATAGTGTCCAAAACCTGTAATAGCTGCTGTGCATGGTGCATGCATTGGGGCAGGTGTAGACATGATATCCGCAGCTGACATTCGTTACGCTTCATCTGATGCATACTTTCAAATAAAAGAAGTTGATATAGGCATGGCAGCTGATGTGGGTACACTTCAAAGATTCCCAAAAATTGTAGGCTCTGATAGTTTGGTAAGAGAACTCGTCTATACAGCACGAAAGTATCCAGCAGCTGAAGCACTGAAAAGTGGATTTATAAGCTCTATGTTAGATGATGAGGAAAGGTAAAAAAAAAGACAAATATATCAAAAGAAATAGTAATAGAAGTTTATAATGATCACTTGGGTGTAATGATTTTAAGAAGATAAATGAATTTTAACATTACGTTTTTTTATTCAGTTTGTTGAATAAATCGATAGAAGTTGCTGAAAATATTGCAAGCAAGAGTCCAGTTGCTGTGCAAGGTTCAAAAATAAGCTTAATATATTCTAGAGACCACTCTGTTCAAGAAGGATTGAATCATATTGTAAGTATCCTTGTTTATTCCACCTAAAATTGTGTAATAAATCTAAATTATACAATAAATTTAAATTTATATAGTAAACTTAAATTACATAATCTCAAAATAGATAATAAAGTTATTACTATTTATTATACAAAATTTTTCATATGGGGAGGATTGTTCAATAATACGTTTTTGGGGTTTATTTCGACAGGCTATGCATAATAAATCAATGCTTCAAAGTGAAGATTTCTTAAATGCAACCATGGCACAAGCTATTAAAGGTGATCCTCCAATATTTTCAAAGTTATAAATTGTTAATATGTTATAATATGTCACATTGTGGACTTATTTGGATTATTTGTATGCTATTTTTATAAAGATGAAGCAAATATATTTGAACAAAATGTTTCTGTAACAAAATATAAATATATACTTTCACAACTTGTTTAAATTCATGGCTACACATTTATCACATTGACCTTTTTGTAAATTATTTTCACTAAACAAACAAATTTTGGTCAAGTAGTATTTTACTTTAAAAAAATTCGTCCCATTTGTGCTTTTTGGTTAATGGTGCCAATCTTGCGGTATCTATGTCAACAATATTATATACATTAATATCTTCAGGAATCTTCACCTGTAATTTTGATTTCAATAACGATGTAGAATATCAGATGTTACTAAATTTATAATACAACAAATCTGTTTAGATAAAGAAAGATATAAAAAAAATCTTAGCAGTAGTAAAAATAAAATATATGTATTAAAAAATATATAAATAAATAAATGTATTTACATACAATTAGCAAATTGATGTAATGCTCATAATTAATTTTTCCTGTTTCTACATCACACGCAATGGCCATCATATCGGCCACTTCCTCTTTTGTAAATGGCTCTCCAATTTCCATAATTGATTTTTCTAAATCATCTTTCATGATGTATCCGCGATTTTCAGGATCTAACAATTGAAATGCTTTCAATAACTCTTCTGGTTCTGCTGGTTTAAACCTAAGTGAGTTGTAACATGTTTAAAAAAACATGATTTCCATACGTGATACGTATATTAATTACTTTATTTGTTCCGAAAATGGAATAGATTTTACTTGAACATACTTGCGTTCATTAATCGCTTTGCTCATATATTCTACAAATCTGTTTAAAGGTACACAATTATTTTCAACATCTTCCACTTCTACTTGTATTTCTTGTAACTCAGCTTCTGTGATGACACAGCCTATTAAATTAACATAAAATTATAAATATTAAAAATATTAAAAATTAACATGAAGAAAGCATAAAATTTGCCACAAGAAATGTCCAATATATAAAATTATTTTAATTAGATATTTTTATTTCGCTAAATTTTTAAATTCTGAATATATATTGTATACCTAATGCTCTGATTATAGTACCCAAATCTCTAACATCTACTTCTCCACTTCTTGCATTATCGAATACATCAAATGCTTCACAGAGTCTCCTTTCTAATAACGTAGGCTCAATAGGCACTAAGCGTACAAATTAATATTGATTGTTAAATAGATAAATAGAAGATTTTATTAAGATACTTACTGATATTAAGAAGCTTAATTTACAAGTTTGTTTAAGAAATAAAGACAGGTACGAAACTCGACTGGCATTAGCTTTCATAAATTGTTTGATCAATAAGTAATGCGGATTAATCCCAGAAAAATTACAGTAATTACATAACGCGATTTATAATAGTTTTTTTATAGATTGTACATTTGCTTAAAAATTAAAAAATGTTTATTTTACATATTTCTCTATGTTTAATTACTAAACCTTTGATCGCGATACGTACATTTTCTACTTTCCAATCTAGTTAGACGTCTTTCAGTGACAGTTCTTCGGGGGGATGAGGGTAACGCAGAAAATGGATGCATTTCGAAAGCTATGTCGCCACCAGTGATGCGGTCATTATTTTTTTAGTTTAATTATACATATTTATAATCAACCAATTAATTAGATAAAAAAAGTTTGACATTTCTACCTTCACACTTGATTTCTTTATCCACTTGCAATTTAATATTAAAAGTTTACGAGAAACCACATTTTTTATTAAAAAAATAAAGTTTTGCATCTGTCTTGTCTCGTCGAGAACCAATTTTCTATCTTAAACTCTTAAAATTTGCATTCCCTTTTGGGACATATTTAAACAATACACATCGTACGGAGATATTTGCGCATCGCAACTCAAGTATCACAACCAGTGACCAGTGACACCAGATTTGAGACAAGCAACAAGCAGTATGAGGGGGGAATACCACACACATGCGCAAGCCACGTATGCACATGTGAGCTCCGAGCTTCGGATAGTAGTTCTTAGGACGTTTTTACAACGTCTTTTTAAGGATATTTCAGGATATGCAAATTGTGCATACAGTAATACTACAAAATATTTTACATACTACTAATTGTATTTGACATTTTGTAACATATATGTTACATATAAAAATAGAGCATAGAGAGTTTATCTCTCTTGCGCTATTTTTAGGTGGTACAAAAATAATAAAAGCTTTATTTAAATATGATATAGCTATAATTAAAAATGCGCAGTTTGTCGATCGATTTCTGTAATGTCTTCAATAATCTCTTGAACGCGTGTTCCAATTTTTTTAGCTACGTCTGCTTTCTCATTATTGGGTAAGAAAAGATAACGCCAAACCAAATCACCGTCGATGATACCTCTTGCTGGATTACCTTGATTCCGTACGTAACTCTTGTATGTGCTAAATTAAGGAAAACATTTAATATGTTAATACTTTTGATTAAAACAAATCCAATAACTTTACGCATGCAATGCATGCGCGCACTTATACACTCTCTCACGTACGCCCGCACACGCACACACAATTTTATTTTATGCAAAAAAATTTAATTTTAAGACCAGGATTAGATATTCTATTATAAAAATTAAAGTTAATTAAAATATGTATCTGTACAAGTATTCTTGAAACTTACCGATACGCTTTTGGATTTAATCCCGCCACATGACAAATGTGTGTTACTAAGACGTTTTGTAACATAAGTAATCTCCGATATGTTTTCTCTGGTACTGGTAAAATGTAACCAAGACTGCCGTCCAACGATGCTAAAATATGCAAAGATACATTTGCAGAAAATATAGGTTTTATTATAACGAGTTATACATCTCATCTATTAATCTATTAATCTACAATCTCTATAGTTTATTTGACTTACCGTACATGGTAACGTGTCTTTTGTCGGCGCCGGGAAACTGTTTCTTATTATTCGCAGGATCGCTAACTCTACACCTAATGCGAAAAAAAGTGTTCACCTTTTGTCCCAGGTGAAAATCAGCCTTTCTAATTAATTTCTGACCGCCCAAGCTTTCTCTGGACTCTGGTTGATACATAAATAAAGCTAAATTGCTCTCTCCGTCAGCCACAACAAACCCTAAATTTGTATTGTCAATTAAATATTCTATTGTGTACACTTCCGCAGGTCTAAAATCCTGCAATAAAACAAATTAGGCACAATCGACATTTATTCAAATTTATTTGATTAAATTATATTATTTAATATTAAATCACACACTCACTCTGCTAACAAGAGAGAGTGTTCTATATTCTTCTTGAAATCTTAGCAAACTGATTGATTTGTAAACGTCAGCTATCAAAATAAGACTTTTGATACTTAGCATTTGATGAATGTAGATTTGAGTATCAATAAAAGCAACTCCAACAAGATCATTATCTTTCAATTGCCAAATATAAATCTGCAATAAAGAAATATTACTTTTTAATACAATTATAAATATATAACGGGCACGCATGATGGTTATCAGGATTAGATGTTGACGCGTAAATTACAACAGTTTACGTCTAGACAATGTGAACCACGTCTAACATGTCATCCATGTAGACGATGTATAAATTTATGGAATAGTATTTCATCTTAGACGTCGTTTATCTGACACCTCTTCAAAAATTTTGACAGCTTGTACGCACTGTATAATTAAATTTTGCAATTTTACAATTAAACAATCGATGTGCGGACGTAATCATGAAATCTACGATACAACATGTCTATGCCCTGATATCTATTCAAGTGAATCAAAAGGCAATACTTTTTGACCAACAGCTGAAACTAAGAATCCTGATACTTGTGTTATAGCAGTTATGGGTCCCTTTTGTTCTTTCGCATAAATCTGTTTAAATCTATTTTTTGTTAATGGCTGGCCAGGTTCAGGTACCACTTCGATTATGTCGAATATAAGTATCTAAAAATTCAAAGAGATGGCAATAAGACAATCAATATAAAAGTCGAGTTAAAAATTTTCTCGACATATAGAACTCACTCGTCCTCTGCTTGTGATATCTTCGCCGTAATTATAGTTTGTGCCTAATACTATGTAACCCTTTAAGCCGGATCGTGTTCCTTCGTAAGCGAGAGACACGTTTTTCAAACATGTTACGTGTTCCCATTGATCCAGCTCGATTTTTGTATTTGGAATAGTTTCCCATGAGACCGGAGAAAATAATACAATAGAAAATTGTTCTTGAGACGGATAAAGAAATCTTTCTGGACGTTCTTCTTCCGTAAATTCCTAATTAATAAAAACATATTCGTTATTATAAAGTTTTATCCATTTTAATCCCTTAAGTCTTAATAACGCAGTGCGTCATTTCAAAAATATCCATAGATTCTGGAGTTGCTGAATTCATATCTCTAAGGCAAAATTTGCGAATTCAACATGGTAGATATAATAAATATACAGCAGATTTAAATTTGTACAATTATTCTATTCTTATCTAACATGATGTCTAAGAGTTATTATAGCGTTTAAATCCAAATCTGACTAAAGTTTTAAAATTCAAGAGAGAATATTATTTTTATAAAATATGAGTAAAATTTATCGTGTTCTAAAATTTGCATATTAAATGTTAATAACTATCTTTTATTTTAATATATATTTTGCTTTATATTTTCTGTTCATTTTTTAATCATACATAATTTAGATATTTATTTTAAAAGTTAAGAGTTTTAATACTCTCCGAAAAAGTTTCACATATCTATTTTCCGAATTTCTAATTGTCGAAATTTAAAAATTTCAACTACAGATTGAAATTTAATGTATCTTAAAATTAAAAAAGAGTTAAAGCATTCGTATCTGTAATTTATCTTTTTAAAAGTTAAAAAAGAGAGTAAGTTGATTGATACAGACATTGACATTGATAAGTAGTCCGAAAAATTAAAACATAAAATGAGATTTGGTGTATTGATACCTTATCTTCGCCGTTAAATCTGTAATAACTCTTCAAAGGTTCGGCTATGCTCGTTATGACACAGTAAGTCTTGCTTTCGAGGTGGTATGTGACAAAATGCGGAGTACATCTCAAGGGGACTTTTCTAACTGGCCAAGGAGCATCGTATGATAGGTGAGTTGGTAAAACGCATATCCTTAATTCTTCCTGATATTAAGAAAAAAAAAAATAGAGAGAGAGAGAGAGAGAGAGATAAATAAAATTTAGAGTTACAAAACTTCAAAGACAATTATATGATGGGACATTTATAAAGCATGACAGATTAATTTAGCATCTTTCATAAACTCACAATTTCTACTTCTTTTTCTCCACACTTTTCTTCCTAAAATATTATTAGAAATATGTCAACTTGTCATCCTTTACATGCCTCATCTTGTATATATAAAAAATGATGTTACACTCCACCTTTCTATTAAAATACAAGAAACCTTGTGGACAATTAATATTATTGAAAGCTGCAAAAGATGTAACGGAGCCATCGATGCCCATTGGATGTATGCGTAATTCACCGCGTCCAGTCAAAAATATCCAATGCGGATAATCGCTGCAGATAAATACTCCATTGTATCCAGCAATGTTGCTAAAGTAACGCATTACACAGATGTGTGTACTGCTGGTGTTTGTCGATACATCTTCTTCCTTAGGTTTTGGACTACAAAAAAATTTAATTAAAAATTGTATAACATTATTTACATAAAGTAGAGACTGAAAAACGTTACAAGTCTCATTTTGGTATAAATAATCATAATATAATAGTAAATTCAGTAATAATTGTATTAAAAGATTACATAAAGTGATAATTATTTCGTTAGAAGTGAAATATATCGGACAATACTATTCGACAATACCTTAAATGTCCGGGGATTATTCCATGATCCAATTTTTTAAATCTTAGTTTTAGATGACCCTTTGGATACCTGTAAGCTTGATAAATTTGCAACTCTGAATCGAGACGTACCAAAAGCATCGGCCGGCTTCCATGGTGTCCTAAAGCGACCATCAGAATCTCACGAACCTGCAGACATAATATAAGTATGTTAAACGAGAGAATCGAATTCAGCGATCTCATAAATCTACGGACGCACTGTATTATTTTGCGAAAATCCTACAAATGGAAAATACTATTTTCGAAATAACAATACATATGTGCTACTGACACTTTGTGGATATTAATGTTAAAATTTCTAAAAAGAAAATACATCTGCAAATAAATCACCTGCAGTTCAGGGTTGGGGATCTCATTGACTGGTGCGGATTGCAGAGTTGTAGATTCCATGCTGTCATGCAGCACGTATTGGCCAAAACCGAAATTACGAATAAGATAAGACAATCGTAAATCAGGCAACGAGTAAATTTCTAATGTCCCGCTATCCCTGTACACGAGTAGCCAGTATGTCGATTTAATTTCTTGCAAATGTCTCTGCCACCTGTTAGAAAAATCCATTTTACATAGATATGTTTAGAAATACTCTGTACACGTGAAATTCTTTTTACGGATAATGTGGCCACGGAGAATATTATGCAAAATATGCTGATAAAGTTTGACTAAATATTTGAAGAATACGTTGATAACGCTTGAATAAAAGTTGTGAAATTTTACCAAGGCGCTTTCTTAATAGTTACATCCGACGTTTTCGAATGCGATGGCACAGGCATTTGGAATGCTGGAGCATCGCCGTACAATAAATCATCTTCGTTATCGATATTGCCGAGTATAGATGGTTCTTCGATATTGTGCTCCTCTTCAGCTTGTTCGTCGTCCGTATTTTCAGGTAATTGCGTCGTAAAGATTCCACTAACATCTCTGTAAGCGCATAACGCTTCTATCTGTGGACGCTGTAAAACATATTAAAACGTTTCATTGTAAAAACATGTTTTCCATAAAGAAAAGTTACGTAAACATTGTATATTCGGTTCTTATCGAATTTTTCGATTCCGAATCCAAAATTGACAATTAGAAATTCAAACGATAGATTTTGCACGAAATTTATACTGAACTTTTTAAGAGTTTTCATAATCCATAATTTGAAAAATAAAACAAATTTTCTATAATTGAAGAATAAAAAAAAAATTCCAGAGAAATAATCAATAGAATAGAATATAATTAAATTAAAAAATAGTCGATGACACTTAATGTATGCAAATAAAAATTTCAAAATAAAATAAATTTTACTTTACACTTTACAAGGATAATATTCTTAAATTTTTCAATTTTTATGTCAGATTGGAATTCAAAGATTATTTAAAGATAATTTTTCAAATTTGCATCTATATTGAATTTGCCGAATTAAATTTGACGATAAATAATTAATAAAAAAATTTGAATTCAATAATTTCAAAAACCATGTTTGCAAAGATCTTACAAGTACATGCAAAGTATTTTTTATGAAATGATGCATACTTGTATGTGCCATTAACACTTTAGAAGTTAATTCTTACTTACGAATAATAAATTGGCAGTCTGGGCATGCAATCTTGCCGTGCCTCTTATCTCTCTAAGTGTTAATAGCATCACTTGTCCATCTTCTGAGAGTAATGCTACATATGGATCGGCACAACTCGCGTGTACAATCGGACAGCCAAGATCTATAGGCATATGTTGGACCTGTAATTAAACATGATTGTAATAAAAGTTAGGATCGCTTTCTACAAAGTAGAATCATTTCACATCCATCTTTGTACAAATAATAATAATACTCGTACATAAAAGTCTTTTTTTTCTTCTTCATTTACTCCTAATCCTAATCGATAAGGATGTACTTTTCATTATAATCTAGAATAAATGGTATAAAAATGAAAATTGTACTGTAATAAATGTAAATTCTTATTTTCTATCTTCTATCATTATATACTTGAAGTAAATTTTATCGTGCTAAGGAAATTTTTGAAATATAAAACTATATACTGAAATTTATATTTAAAAAATTAAGGATGTATTGGTTATATAACGTCAGCTAAATTATACGTCATCGAAATTAAATACAATCATCTTATTTCATATTAAACATCAAATAAATAGATTTGGTTTAAGCAGAGAATTACAATATTACAAACTAATATATGACTTTTAATGTTTCTGTTGGAAAAAAATATTTTTAATTGACATTTTTTTCTAATCCACAATGAAAAGAGAAAACTTTTCGATGTAAATATCATCTGAAATTGTGGAAAACAAAAGTAACGAAGACGACTTAAGAGCTAACATACGTACTTGTTCAATGCCTTGCAAAAGACGTACTCCCATTTGAGTGACTTGTACTATATACCTATTGGCGCCCAGATTACCAGCAAATACTGTACTTCCTTGTGTGCTGAATCCACTCTGGTCTACTTCATTAATTTCCTGACCAGTTTGCAGAATCTTCAAATAAATAGTATTATCAAACACAATGTCTAAATATCAATGCATGAATTGTCATACAACCATGCACACACTTGAACATTACGATACAGGCAAAGATATGATAATTATTTATTCAAAAGTTCGAAAATATAAAATTTTGTTCATACAAAGCTTTATTTTTGAGAAAATTGATTTTAAAAATTGGAAAATTAATAATATCTTTATACTTCTTTAAGTTTAAATGTTCTTCAAAACCTTGTGTCTCATATCTTATTGAATTCATTTCAACAGCGGCTGTTCCCAAACATATATATATATATATATATATATATATATATATATATATAAAATACAACATGCTATTGTAAAAATTTAAGTAAACCTTTTTAAATGGGATATTATACTTTCTTATTTATCATCAATGACTCCATCGAGAGAATATTTTTTCAAACAAAGTCCCATTATCGATAAAAGTATTATTAAAAGTATTCTTATACATACCATCGTTGAATCTTCTTGACTCAATATTAGGAAAGCATGAGATCCTTCCGCTTCTGTTTTAATTTGTTCGTCGCTGTTTAACGTGCCTATGACAGTCCACATGTCTACATAGCCGGGCAATTCAAAAGTCGTCACAACCTTTTTGTAACAATAAAATGTATCGCTGCAATTATATTTTCACAAATTTCCCACAAAAAAAATTAACTTACAATCTTAATTTTAACGACAGATTCTCTGAATATTTGAAATCAACTTTTTTTCAGCAAAACCGTGCGTACGAATTACGTGAGTTTCTATCCATAACAAATGTTTTGAACTGTCGAATCACATATTTCTGTTACGTTACACATCTTTATAAATACATAAATATTTAAAAAATTTCAAATCCATGATTTAATTTTATAATCATTATTCTGTGATATTATAATCATTTGTCTTATAATTTTGCCATTACACGGTGATCAACGCGTTTAAAATTACGACATTGTGTATCGACGAATAATCTACATATATAATATATGTATGTATAAACACATACTAAAATAATTTAGTATTAATTACCTGAGGACGTATAGAGCGTTGTAACACACAAAGTGCACCATTTTTACCATATCCGGATGTCGTCACGAGTTCTACATCGGGATCTTGATTGTGAAGAAATTCTTCCGACAAAAAGGCTGGTTCTCCCATAGAAATATTTCCACACGGTCCAATGTTCAAAAGACTGTCGCATACCTAGAAATAAAAAATCTACAAATTACAGATAAAAATATTAAACAAAATAAAATTATTAAAGTATTTTAGGATAATTAGAATAAATATAAGAAAGTGCATTGCATAAAAGAAAAAGTATCAATACCTCAAAAATATATGAAGTGATTTGAATGGACGTATGAGTTTCACTGCCGTAAACTTCCAACTCTTCTGGATCTTTAATATCTAATACATCTGACGCCATCCAGTCACCAAGAAAATCTTGCTTCACTTTCTTGGCCGGAGTCTCTTCACTCTCATTTTCTTCAATAGTAATTCCATCGTCAGTCAAATTTTTCAAAGTTTCAGGTTCTTTTTCCGTGAACCGTAATAGTAATGAATTACCAAGTCGAGAGCCGAGGAAAAGATAATTATCTTCACACATACACACCTAAATCACAATCAAGCATGTATATTGCCAGAAAAATGGATATATTAAAATATACATATATAAAGAGTGCGATAAAAATTACAATGCAAGCAAAGACACAATTATTTCTTGTACAAAAATAATCAAAAAATATGGAATAACTTTTTCTTATATGTATGAAGCATGTTTTTCTAAATCGATTAAAAAAGTTGAAAAATTAACAATGCCTTTGCACTTTTGAGGAATCTTGAATGATAACCAAAGATTAAATAAAATCAATATTTTTACCAATTTTTTGTCTTCAAAAGGCATATCGTGTTTAAAATTAACAATAAAAAAAAATTTGCTACTAGAAAACATGTTACTAGAAAAAGCCATCAAAAATCAGATTAAAACATATCCATCGTACTATGAAAAGATGTTGGTCTACATTTTTTACTTATTCCAATACTGAAAATTACTCTCGCTTACACTAAAATTTTCTTTATATCTTGAATACATAATAATTGTAAACTGAAGTTAGAATATTTAATAATATAATTACAAATTAAATATAACTGCTTACACATGAAGTTAATACACTAGCAGCAGCCTTGTCAAAGTGAAATCCACGTACAGATCGCATACTGTCGGCAAAGAGAGATAAAACGTACAATTCTCCACTTTTCAAAGAGATAACTAAACGATCCACAGATATAAATGCGACTTGCGCTCCTTCTAAACTCATTTTTACTCCCTCTTGCGGTTCTACAAAAATAAAATATAATAACATATTTAAAAGTTAACACAGTTCAAGTAAATAAAATTACAACTGATAATGTCTCTTACTTAATGGAAAATTTGTGCTTGTGTCTGCTAAACTATTAAGTGATACTCCATAAGGCGGTATACTTTGATTCAGATAAATAAGCGAGTTAACTGCCATTATTAATGTGCCACCCAACGGTTTCTTTACAGATACAGCTTGATAACAATCAAACGGTAAATTAGAGACAGACCAAATGATAGGATGAACCCTTTGCTGAATGTTCAAAGATATAGCAACCATAGCACAAGTATCTTGTCTCACTGCAATGCGTCTATGTGCAAAGATTATATAACAATATTAATTAAAATATCATTTTTCCTATTTATTTCTAGCAAAATTAATATTTATCTTTACCCTGAAAATGTTCTTACTGGTTCATACAAAATTAACAATGTAGGTTCATAATATCCATGCAAAAACTGTAAGTCTATCACATTATCCATTTTTTCTTCCAGTGTCTTTAATATTATCATGTATGAAGATAAAATAGGAGTCTTGCTGGAAGATGTTAATTTTACAGTATCAAGCAGGTCACCGTCGTCAAGACTAGGATCCTTACGAAAAGGTAGTACAACTAGTTTTCTGCCATATATTAACATTACTGCACATCTTCCCTCTGGATCCACTCTTACAATTGGTATATGATGATGATTAGTCCATCCATCCTAGTGAACAAAACCCCGTTCGAACAAGATATAATGTAAAATTTAAACTATCTGTATCACTACAACTGATGTTATGTAAAAAAAATGTTATCTTAGAGACACACATCATTATAACACCTGTCTTTTAAAGATTAAATAATAATTTTCAATTATTACACTAATTAAATATTATAATATTGTAAATGTTCAAGCAAGCTTTCACCCTTATTTCCTCTTCTTCGAAATAATGTAATGACACAGTTCTTAAATCATGAACATCCTGATCATATTCCACAACAGATAATTTTGCATCGCGAAAGCTCAATAGAAGAGAATCTCTCTGTGATCCAATAAGATGAACAGCCTGCATTGACATGACATTTCCATGCAAAGTATATTGTGCTAAGCATTCTAACTTCATTTTAGGAGGACGTATTTCTGCAACAAAACGTTTACTTCTATTTGCATTCAAATAAATAAAGAAATATATAACTAGTGAGAAAGAAAACTACCTGTATATTTTTCCTTTCTCGTCATGTCGACATCTGGAATCAAACGAAATACTCGAATAATATTTGCGCCAGCGACGACAAGGCATTTTTCGGTACGGTTGAAAAAATAGCATGTGATTGCATGTTCGACTCCTGTCGCGGGATGAGTATTTTTGCATATAGAATACATGATAAATTATCACTATGTGTTACAAGTCATTAACTTTTTTTTTTAATTATAGCGTATCTAGCGTGCCATCAACCAGTCGTCATTAACATTCCGGTTAGAGGTTAAGCTAACGTTGTCAAACGAGCCGGGGTTTCGGTTTTTCGCGCAAAGACTATAGAGGTCTGTTCTTTATAGCTGAACTGGCTGTACTAGTTCAGAGTTTATCTTTTTCCCTCCACATTGGAAGGAGAAAGATAAACTCTGAACTAGTGCAGCCAGTTCAGCTATAAAAAACAGACCTA